TCATCTGGGTCAAGAGAGTTTCTTAAGCAGAGGTTTAATTACAGCAACCTTAAAAGCCTTTGGTACATATCCCTATAACAGAGATAGATTAATCACATCTAAAATGGAGGAGGAGATCAAAGGGAATACCTCCATAAATAATCTGAATTGAACAAGATCTAACATGCATGTTTAAGTACTAGATGAAGACAATAGTTTTTGCCAACTCTGAAAGTTCCACATGATCAAGTAGTCTAAATCCAGTTCAGATTCTATGTCTACCTCAGATGCTGCCCCACCCTCTAGAGACAAACCAATCGCAGATAGACGAGTCCTAATGATCTTATTTATAAAGAATCCCATAAAACCATGGCTGCTAAGAGCAGGTGGAATGGAAATGGACGGTTCAACAGAGCTATGGCTCTGGGTGAGTTTTGCAACTGTATTAAAAAGAAATCTAGGATTATTCTTATTCTCCTCTATTAATGAGGAGAAATATGCTGCTCTTGTTCTACAAAGGGTCCTCTTAAACAGCAGTAAATTATTTTTCCAGATTAGGTAGGACTCCCGTAGGCCTGTGGAGTGATATTTTCTGTTCAGTTTCCTAGCATTTTGCTTCAAATTGCACAGCTCTGCATTAAATTATTTTTAACATTTTTCATTTTTAGAGGAGCTCCGTTGTCTAAGGCACAGAGAACTAGCAACCCCATCAACCTGTGAAGGGGAGTAAACCAAGCTTTTGCACTCTGCAGCACTGCTCAGCGACACAGAAGAGAGAGAAAGTGAAACAGTTTCTTTAAAATTTATAACTGCACTATCTGATAATGATCTTCTAAAGTAGAACCTTCTTTTGGGGGAGGAGAATTCTGATAAAGTAATCCTGAAGGTAATTAAAAAGTGATCAAAAAGGAGTTGTGAGGAAATACTGGTATTTCTTTTCTGGACACGGCCGCCTTTTTCAATTGCCTTTAGTATCTCTGCTTTTGTGTTATTGAACACCAGTCGGCCTCAGCAGATGGTCGCTCACACCGAGTCTGGTTCTGTTGGAGGTTTCTTCATGTTAAAAGGGAGTTTTTCCTCTCCACTGTCGCTACAAGGATGCTTAGTGTGAGGGATTGCCTTTGAGTCAATTTCTTCAGATAGAAAACTTTGAATCAATCTGACTGTATGATCTGGTTTTGAGATATGTATTGTGAATTGGCGCAATATAAATAAACTAAATTGAAAACATTTAATAACAGTTAATGAATAATAAAGAGTTTGTCAATACAAATAAAATTGCATACATCATCATACAGTTAATTAGGTATCCTAATATTAGCTTCTGTTTATCTTCTAGGCTTAAATGTACTCCTGTTTATCACAGCTGATTCAACTGACCAACTTTCTTACAGTCACCAAAATCTGCTGCAGAACATTCATGAAACAATAAGTCATTCAAGCCACTTCTTAAATTTGAAGGACACCAACCCTGGAACATTTCCTCTAGAGGAGACCAATTTTATAATTTGGACTGAGTGTGAGCAGCACTGCAGCTCAGGTGAGCTAGAAGGAAATCTTGCATCTTCTTCCACAGGTGAAGTTCAGCTGCAGCATGAGCTTTGGGCTCTCCACCCCACACCACTGGAAACCTGAGCATCCCGTGTAAAGCAGAGGGGCAGTGCGGTCCATAAGGGGGTTCTAGTAAATGTCCGGCTGCAGGGTAAGTCACGCTCTCAAAGTTCTTCTTCCCATGGCGCTTCAGTCTCTCCACC